ACGCATTCGACGCGGACAGGGCCGCGACGGGACAGACAAGGTCCCCCGAGGATGCAACATAAGTTCTTCTCGCCCAGGCGCTGCGCATCATTTGCGCGAAAGTGGCAGTGCTGCCGCGGCGCGGCGCACGCCTCCTCGTCGCCCCGCGCGCTGAAAGCAGGGCCGCGCGAGAGAAGGCAGACCTGCGCTCTCGCCTCGGCGCCGCGCCAGGACTTCCTGGAAGTTCTGCTCGTGTCCGTGCTCGCCCCGCTTGTTGTTTGTTTGTTTGTGTGTTTGTTTGTTTGTTTGTTTGTTTGTTTGTTTGTTTGTTTGTTTGTTTGTTTGTTTGTTTGTTGTTTATTTCTCGTGTTTATATATATATATATAGATGTGTATATGCCAGGTCGCCAGAAGAGGCGGGGCCACTGTCAAGGGTTCTGATGTTCTAACCTACTGTAGCATTGACCACCAGAAAGAATTTCGAGCACCACGAAGCCGGGGGGTTTTCACGTGTCGTGCCCTGGGAGGCTACTCGTTCGACATTGTTTCGATATTTTTCTGGGTGCTCGAAATTACTTCTGGGCTGTGGTCCTTAAGTACGATGGGATCCACATAAATCAAGGGGGATGTGAGCGCTCGCTAGTCCCACTGTCAAGTTGCGCCACCATCTGGTTCTAATGTTGTGGGGCGAAAAATGGGGGTAGGCGGGGCGGGGCCCGCTGATTCGTCAGACCTGGCTAACTTGACTCTGCCTCCTGCTCTCCGTCCTCCTCCCCTTCACCTTCCGCTCCCCCATCCCCCTCCTCCCCCTCTCTCCCCCCCTCCCCCTTTTCCATCTCCCCGTGCGACCCCCTCCCCCTTTCTCTCCCCCTTCATCCTCCTCCCCTTCGTCCCCTTCCCCCCTTCCCCTCCCCCATCCCCCTTTTCTCCCCCTCCTTCATGGCTCCCCCCTTTCGCACGGGGCAGGGCTCCTGCCACCGACGCTCGCGGGGGGCGCTCCGCGCGCAGAACCCCGTTGGAGGGCGGGCGGCCCCCAATGGTCTGGCCCGAGCGGGCGCTTCTCTGGCTCGAGTACGCTCGACGGCGACGACGAGAGCCGCGGCGATGACAGGAGCGATGGCGACCGCGGCGACGAGGGAATGGGAAAAAAAACACACAAGACACGCAAGACACACAAAACACACACACACACACACACACAAAAAAACAACCACACTGTGGGACAAAAACACACAGTGCGTGTGTTTTTTTAAAACACACACTGTGTTTTTTGTCCCACAGTGTGTGTGTGTGTGTGTGTGTGTGTTTGTGTGTGTGTGTGTTTGTGTTTTTGTGTGTTTGTGTGTGTGTGTGTTTTTCCGATGGCGATGCTGGCGGAGTGACGAGCCGGCCCGCGGTGGTGCCGAGGGTGGCGGAGGTCTCCGACCGCGGCAGCCGGCGGCGGACGGCGGCCGGCGGCGCTGGTGGAAGGACGGCGCAGGCGAGCCGCCCACGCTTCTGAGGTTTTGGTTAGTCAGAGCCCCGAATCATCAGGGGTAACTCGGGCGAAGAGAACTATGCACATGCACCGATCCTGGCAAGGCCCATCCTTGACCCAGGATCGGTGCATATGCCTTCCTGGCCAAGGTAGGAGGGCGTATGCACCGATCCTGGGCTCAGGATGGGTCTGACCAGAATCGGTGTATGTGCATAGTTCTGTTTCCTCTAAGAGCCCCGAATCATCAGGGGTAACTCGGGTCAGGGATAACTCGGGTTCGTTTTTCGGGAATCCAAGCCCGAGTTACCCCGGACCCGAGTTACCCCGGATAACTCGGGCGTCCAGAGCCCCAGAATCATCAGGGGTAACTCGGGTCAGGGATAACTCGGGTTCCTTTTTCGGGAATCCAAGCCCGAGTTACCCCGGACCCGAGTTACCCCGGATAACTCGGGCGTCCAGAGCCCCGAATCATCAGGGGTAACTCGGGTCAGGGATAACTCGGGTTCGTTTTTTCGGGAATCCAAACCCGAGTTACCCCGGACCCGAGTTACCCCGGATAACTCGGGCGTCCAGAGCCCCAGAATCATCAGGGGTAACTCGGGTCAGGGATAACTCGGGTTCCTTTTTCGGGAATCCAAGCCCGAGTCACCCCGGACCCGAGTTACCCCGGATAACTCGGGCGCCCAGAGCCCCAGAATCATCAGGGGTAACTCGGGTCAGGGATAACTCGGGTTCCTTTTTCGGGAATCCAAGCCCGAGTTACTCCTGACCCGAGTTACCCCGGATAATTCGGGCGCCCAATTCTGAGATTTTGGTTAGGTCGGGCGTGTCCCCCTACAGGAGGATTTTTGGCGAACAAAAAAACAAACAAACATGCACCAAAGATGTCAGAGAATAGTAGTCAAATAGTCCCCAGACTATTTTTGGACTGTTTTTTTGATTATTGTTGGTGTATTTTTGATTGTTCGTCAAAATCCCCCTGTAGGGGGATAGGCCCGACTTCAGATTTTTGGGAGGTCGCGCGGGAGCGGCGGGCGGAATCGCAGGTTCCGAGGCGGCGGCGGCGGGGGATGCACCCCGCCTTTCACGCAGCACCAGTCAGCCCGCAGAGCAAGCACGGGCCACCTTGCCAGGGGCACTGGTGCATCGTTGCCTCCTCGGTCCCATCCCTGGCCGCTCGCGTTGGCCGCGCCCCGCTCGAAAGGCGTCGAAATGGGCGTCCAAGGGTTCTGTTGCAGCTTCGGGGGACCTCGCCTGTCCCCAAAATTGGTGTCTTTTTGGGGGCCCGACGCGTGCTCGATGCGGACTCGACGCGGATTTGGCGTGGATTCGACGCGGATTCGACATGAATTCGACACGGATCCGACGCGGACAGGGCCGCGACGGGACGGACAAGGTCCCCCGAGGATGCAACATAACAAGGGTCTTGCATCCTTATCGTGCGTCTTTATGGCATGGGTCGACTGTAATCTACGGCAGGTTCGTGCATCGATGGCGCGCCGGCGACGCCGGCGCGTTCGAGGTTGGTTTCTGCGGCGCGGGAGCACCGAGGGACACGGAAATTAGCTCCACTGGACCCGACGGAATTCAGCCTGGAACGATCGGGGCCGCGGTCGATTCAGGGTTGAACGATCGACGCGGTGTCGACAGCCTTTTCGCGCGCCGACGCCGCACGAACTTGCCGTACAAGTTGATCCGGGGTGTGGTTTAACATGTCGATCGTGCATCGGACTTCTTCGAAGGATTGCAACAAAAACCCGAAGGATTGCAAAAAAACCCGAAGGAAGGATTGCAAAAAAACCCGAAGGGTTTTTTTTTGCAATCCTTCGAACTTGCCGTACTGTAAGTTGATCCGGGGCGTGGCTTAACATGTCGATCGTGCATCGGGCTTCCTCGAAGCGAGCGGCCCCCGGAGCGGTTTCCGAGGCTGCTTTACATGTTCCTGGCAGTCACCGTTGCTTCAAAATCGTGATTCTCGCTCGAGGCTTCAAAGTCAGATCGTACCTGCTTGTTTGAGGCTTCAAAATCAGATTCTCGCTCGAGGCTTCAAAATCAGATCTCGCTCGAGGTTGTCTTACATGTTCCTGGCAGTCACCGTTGCTTCAAAATCAGGTGCGCTTCTCTCGAAACAGGCATCAAAATCGTGACTCTCGCTCGAGGCCTCTGGGAGAACCCATGGGCATCTGCCGGAGCTTCCGCCAGATGGATGGATGTCCTCGCGGGTCCCCGCGGTGTTCCCAGCGTGCAGAAGCGGCCGCCCCGCCCGGCAAACGTGTCTTCCGCGAAGACACCTGCACCGCTGTCATCCCCGCCGTCATCCTCATCGTCACCACCGTGTTGTCGTTCCTGCTGCCACCCTGCCCGCCACTGTGGCGATGACTGCGTTTTTGCTCTTGCTCGCGCGTCAAGGCCGCAGCAGCCCGAAGACATAACCTTCCCCTGTCTGCTCCCCGAAGGGCGAAGGGGGAGGCCCAGGCAGCAATGGGCGAAGTCCGTACAGTGGGGGCGCGCATCAAGAAACCATCTGCTTGTCGTCAGGGTATCCTGGGTTTCTCTGCTTCTCGCGCTGCGCGGTGACTTCCCGCAGCCGTTGAAGGAGCTGCTGCGTTCAGGGTGCTCCAGGTTTCCCCTCAGCTGCACCTCGCGCACGGGTTCTCAGGGTTGGGTTTCTTGCGAGGGTTTCTTGCGGCCGCGCCCGAACTGTATAAGATCTCGATCATGTGAGTATCTGAAGCCTTTGATGGTCTCCCTTGTTGTCCCCCCTTCTCTTCCCCCTCGCAGTGAAGCCCGCTCCGGCAACTTTTTGGTTGCGTTTTCTGCCCACGCGTCCTGCCTTGACGAGCGCGTTCCACTACTCGCAGAGTAACTACTCGCAAATGGCCTGGATCCCCCGCGGGGGATCTACGATAAGTTACATCAAAGCAGACCTGTGTTTTTCTGACGCTTGCGAGCAGGCACTCTGCGAGTAGTGGAACGCGCTCGGCAGTGCCTGGATGCACGGCTTCCTCGTCTTCTTCTTTCTGCTCCCCCTCTCAGAGGCTCCTCCCTCCCCCCCCATTGCGGGCAATAGTTATATCTACAACCAGTGCGTCTTGGAGTGTTGGGCTCTCTTCCCCAGAAGCCGGAGGCGCACTGGAGATGGACAAAGATCTGGCCCCACGAGGTTAGATTCTTACCCACATCCAGTGCGCCGCGGCCTTGCGACACCCCTTCCCGAAAAGTCCAAGACGCTCTGGATATGGACATAAGTATCGCCCGCACCCACTGCTGGGCTCCCCCCCCACCGGCCCCGCCCGACGCGTGCTCGATGCGGACTCGACGCGGATTTGGCGTGGATTCGACGCGGATTCGACACGGATTCGACACGGATCCGACGCGTCCGACATGGTTTCGACACGGACTCGACGCGGACAGGGCCGCGACGGGACAGAAGGTCCCGCCCAGGATGCAACATAACCACTGCTAGGCTCCCCCGAGGATGCAACATAACCACTGCTGGAGGAGGAGGAGGAGGAGGAGCAGGGAGCAGGGAGCAGGGAGGAGGAGGAGGAGGAGGAGGAGGAGGAGGAGGAGGAGAGAGAGCAGGAGGAAGGAGGAGGAGGAGGAGGAGGAGGAGGAGGAGGAGGAGGAGGAGCAGGGAGGAGGAGCCCCGCCCGGGGCCCGCCCGGGGCCCGCCTGCCCCGCAGGACTCGAGCTCGAGCTCGGACGGCCGCTCGGACGACCCCCGCGCGGGCTCCGGCGAGGACGGCTGCGGAGGCCATCGCGGCCGCGGCCTCGGCGGGGCCCGTCCGCGGCGCGGGGGCCCGCGGGCTCCCCAAGGGGGGAGAGGAGGGGAGGGCAACGGGGGGGGAGGGGGAGGGGAGGAGGGGAAGGGGAGGGGAGGGGGAAGGGGGGGGAAGGGGGGGAGGGGGAAGGGGAGGGCAACGGGGGGGAGGGGAGGGGAGGAGGGGGAAGGGGAGGGGGAGGGAAAGGGGGGAAGGGGGGGGGAAAGGGGAAGGGAGGGGAAGGGGGGGGGAGGGGGGGGGAGGGGAGGGGAGGGGGAAAGGGGGGGGGGGAAGGGGGGAGCACGAGAGGGGAGGAGGGAGGAGGAGAGGAGGAGGGGGGAGGTGGGAGCAGGGAAAAGGGGGAAGGAGGGAGCTCCCAGGGGGGAAAGGGGGGGGGAGAGGAGGAGGAGGAGGAGGGGGGAGGAGGGGGGAGAGGGGAAGGGTTAAGTCGAGCCGTCCCCCTACAGGGGGGTTTTCGACGAAGAATAAAAAATACCCTCAAAATAATCAAACGATTGTCCCAAAATAGTCTGGGGACTATTTTTTGAATATTTTTTGACCTTCTTGGGGCATTTTTGGGGTATTTTTTATTTTTCGTCGAAAATCCCCCTGTAGGGGGGTACGCCCGATATAAGGGAACGGGGGGGGGAAGCACGAGAGGGGAGGAGGGAGGAACGAGGAGGAGGGGGAGGAGGGGGGAGCAGGGAAGGGGGGGAGGGGAGGAGGAGGGAAGGGGGGAGGGAGGGGGGAGGGAGGATGGAGGGAGGGGGGAGGGGGGAAATGGAATTTGGGTTTCTGTACAACCAGAACAGCCCTTTCCAACCGGAAGGGAACTTTCCAACCATAAACGTTTGAAATCGTTGTTTTTTCCTTCACAGCCCTTTGAGGGCTATTTTGCAACCATAACTGCTTCTTTGCAACCAAACAGGCCACTTTACAACCAGGCAGCCCGCTTCCACACGCCTCTGAGGGCTTCTCGGACGCCTCAGGCTTTTGAGGGCTTCCAGAGGCCTCAGGGAACCTCCCACGGGCTTCTGAGAAGGTCCCAGAGTCCTCGATGAAAGCTCCAGACGTTTTTGAGAAGTCTACTCGGACTCTGAGGAGCTCCCAGAGGCCTTTGAGAAGCTCTCAGAGGCCTCTGCGAAGCCTCCAGAGGCCTCTGCGAAGCCTCCAGTGGCCTTAGAGGAAGCTTCCAGAGGCCTCGGAGAAGCTTCCAGAGGCCTCTGAGAAGTTCCCAGAGGCTTCTGAGAAGGCCCCAGGTGCCTCTGAGAAGCCTCCAAAGGCTTCCAGAGGCTTCTGAGAAGGCTCCAGAGGCTCTGAGAAGCCTCGAAAGGCCTTTGAGGAGCCTCCCAGAGGCTTCCGAGAAGCCTCCAGAGGCGTTCGAGGAAGTTCCCAGGGGCCTCGGAAAAGTTACCAGAGGCTTCTGAGAAGCCTCCAGGGGATTCTCGCCGTAGTCGTCGTTTCCGCCGCCGTCGCAGCCGCCGCTACTACTGCTACTACCACTATCACTACTACTACTACTACTACTACTACTACTACTACTACTACTACTACTACTACTACTACTACTACTACTACTACTACTACTACTACTACTACTACTACTACTACTACTACTACACGGGGGGTACTATAGTTTTGACCATAAGACGTCATGCTGTCGACGCCCCCTGCCCCCCCGTAGAATCTTAGCGACATGTTTTGGGTCGGGCGGCGGTTCGACTCCGATGGGCTCTCACCCTGTAAGAATATAATAATATATATTTAAAACAGGGTGATAATTACTCCGTCCCATGTACAATAGGGCCGGAAAACACTCCGACTTGAACCCATCACAGTAAACCACTCCGCTTGAGTCACGTTTGATCGTCCGTGTCATCGCCCCCATCGACCCTGTCCTGATCATGCCAACGCGATGTTTCATTGTATTCCTTGTTGCATTGATGCTGTGAGACCCTGGGCATCCTTCTCCAATGCGGTCGCTCTCGGTTCACTGGTTGGCCGTCCCAGAGGGCACACAAAGGCTCGCGACTCCGCATCAAGGCACCTTTGCATCCTGATCGGTCCTCCGCGGCGCGCGTGACCAGCGAGGCAATTCTCATCTTATGGTCAAAAACTTTAGTACCCCCGAAGGGCAAAATGGGTTCTAGCCGCCGCCAATCATCATCGTCATCTCCATCATCTTTGCAGCCGCTTTGGCTCAAGACCTTAGACAGGTGGACAACTCATCAGCGTCGGCCGTTTGCCGCGCGGGTGAGCACTCCATCTGCCCTGGCCGTT